AAACGTGAAGTGCCGAAAGCACCCTTCTAAGAGGCAAGTGCAGTTCCACCCATTCTGGGAGGAAATACGACCCCGCTCGCTGGGGATCCCCAACGCACGACTGGTGTCCCGCTACTTCTCTGCACGCGTTGAGTTTCCTAGATCGTGAATCCTACAGATGCCTTCATGATGGCCATATCAAACTGCAAATTACCTATTTTCGGGACGTGTTTGTTACACTCTTATGAGCTCTTCTTCCAGTGGTTTTAGCGTTTTGAAGAGTTGAGGCAAGGCACGAAAAGATTCCAAATTCTCTAGAAGGGATGAAGCAGCAGTATTCGCAATGCTTTGATCAAACTGAAAGCTCAAAGCTGCTCAGTAGCCTTAGCGTGAGCCCCACAAAATGCCCGTTTCTCACTCCCAAGAGCTAATACTAAGAGAGGAAAAGTGCAAATATTGCACCCCATGGAACACCACGACAGGAATTGCTAGGTTTTTGGGTATCCTTCGAACAAACGCCATAGCAATTTATCAACCAACACAGACGTTCAAATTGGATGATATTTCGAAAAATGATTCGCATTCCATCTCCAGTACTTCCTTCATCGAAAAGAATCAGACGGTAAGAGGCCACAGTGGGCAAGGAACCTACCATAGCGAAGAGAAAGTAGAACAAGCCAAAAGGTCACATTCTTAAAGTTCCTCAATTTTTTGCTGAACTTCGAACTGGGAGAAAAGGAAATAATCGGGAGAATCACAAAAAAGCCATGCAAGTTCATAACAACCGGCGTATGTGCCCTGGGAGGGACCACTTTCCAGCGGACTAACACACGTTATGCCTGCACCCTCTCTCCGATACAGGGCACGTTTTACGGATACTTGGTAAACGTCGGAACATGCCGCGAACTCTCCCAGACAGCAATAATGTGAGTTCGTAGCTAGAACAAGGCCTGTTTTAATCCTCTGGAGAGATGGCCCTCCCGAGGCACACAGCGCCCCTGTCTCCGAGATACAGACTCTACAGGCCTGCCCATGGATATTCACCATTTCCTTGGAATGTGCGGAATGGCAGATCTTCCGCGATTAACCCCCATCCAACTGATAAAAAGTGGGAGGATGAAATCTTCCCCTTTGTGGACCCCTTTTTGAGATGCGCCACGCATTCTACTTCTGTTCAGAATGGTAAAGGCTAACTGAAAATTATGTGGCCTATACAATGACCTGCGGGGTCAGCCGATGTACAAGTGCTCTTATCCTTTCAGATGGATCTGGTTACCAATTCGCCGTCCCCGGAGGGTAGAAGGCTTGGTTGGCCTGAGCGAGAGCCGAACCGGGACGCGATACCGGGACCTAGTGCGTGGTAGGTGCGCCACTTTCCACTACACTGATTAGCCCCTCGAAAATCTTCAGCTTGATGGAGTTGAAACAAAGCCTTCGATTCGGGATGCCACCATCGGAATGTTGACCCTTGGGTGCTCCAAATTCTACTTCTGCTTGGGATCCTTTCTACTGAATTGGTTCAATTTTTGGAGGCATTCCTCACCCGACTACAATATTTTCGGGAAAAATATTATTTGGAAGAAAATAAAGCAAAGATTCGATAAGAAGTATTTCTTGTTTTGTTCCATTTTTTTCGCTGCTGAGTGATAAACGTTGCTCAGCTTTCTTACCAGTGCCTCAGCGATAATTTTCTGAAGAGGAAGGGCTATACAAAAGGCCATGCTGAGAGGTATGGAACGGTTCTGGGAGAATTTTCTGGACGCCTTCAGACGCCGACAGGCATCAGACACTGACAAACCGTGACTGTAACTCTATGAAGCCCATCTGGGCCACGCTCGTTCAGCACCGAGGCCCATAAGGATTACCCGTTACGAGTTACTTACAATTAGAGTAACCATGGCGACCTTTTCACAATAGAAAATCTTCGGTATAGAACAGCCAACATCCACTGAGAAGCGAGGTGGAGGGTAGGCAGGAGGGAGAGGGGGAACAGTACTCCCACAAAGTATCAGAAATGCTAGGATAACCGAGTGAAGATATTATCACTTGAATTGGTTGAAGCGGTGAAAATAAGGAAAAAAAACATTTCACCAAGCCGACCTTTGAAACAGTAAAGTATGAAAGTAAAGTATGACCCTCCTTTAGGTGATCTTCAAGGATGTGCCCCACTTACTCCGACGGAATTGGCTCAAATTATGTGGAGCTATGTAGTGCCCCTTGTATTTCCTTTGGGAAAAGTGACTGAATAGAGAGACTAAGAGACTTCTAGATTTACTCAATGACGATCTTTACTCGTACCTGAAAATACTATCTAAAGGGCTCATCAACGATCGTTCGCCATGTTTACGAGGAAGTGTTGGTGTACGACTCGTTCCTCCTTTTCGAACATCTTCTGCATAGGCGACAAAATCGACGTCAATATGAAAACCATAGGGACAGCAGCGACATTTATCAGCGGCACGATGCTGCCTCGTCGACATCGCACGCGACGGATCTACCTGAAAATGACATATCGATCGACAGTTTGATAATAACGCGCAGTGCGACCAATCGATAAACGTCTGAACGAACATTGCTTAGAAATGCGCACGGCAAAAGTTCAGTATCAACAAAGCAATGACAAGATCAGGTGTGATGAATTTGCAATATTCTAGCACAGAGAAATCGCCTTCCAATAAAAGGAGCCATAACTGGTAATGGATAAGCCTGCTCTGTGGCAAAAAAATGTTAAAGTTCAGCGATCAAACTCGTCAAGAATGAAGAGACAACAAAATAGGAATGCGAGGAAATATGAAGATGATATGGCAATTTTGTACGTTCACAGGTAAACATGGCGTGACCACCAATAAATGTAAATCATCGCGGCAGCTTTGAAAAGCGTTGAAATCAAAAGGGTGTGGCTCAGTTGACGACGGTATGGGCGTGGCATTTCTGGTCTCAATATCGTGAATTCTACAATATTTACAAAAAATGCTACCGTAGCCAAGGGTGGTTCCAGCGAGTAAACCCATGAGTTGACCGGTTCTTCTCGTGCACGCCATGCATACGGTTTCCATTAGAAATCATTGGGATGATTGTATGAGTATGGCATTGTGGTAAAGCTTCAGCTGCTGATTTTCTTCCCTTTTTCTATCCCTTCGAAAACCCAATGTTTCCTCAGAGCAGAGCTCAGGCAGCGTTCATACTTCAGCACTCTGCGACAGCAATGGCGATCGCGGCGATCATAACGTTCGTGGCGCCCATT